TCATGGCCCCTACAACAAGTGGGGTTATGATGCTGGTTTGCCTGGATCGATGGATATCGTGGACCACCACAGGTGGGAGCTGCATTTTATGTACGAATGGCCTGCTCAGTTCCAGCTCAACATTTGGGGTATCAACGAGGACAACCAGCCTGATGCTGGCGCCATCTTCGGCGACATCGACAATGACGGCATCATCGATCGACTGCCCCCCAGCAGTTTGGCGAACAACGTCATCAACATTACTGGGCCTCCCACCATGCCCGCACTCGCATGGAAGCTGGTGTACAACGATGCCACCTGGAGGATCGACAAGGTTGCGGTCGGCAGCGTGTGGATCCAGATCGTCGTCTTCGCTCTCCTCGCCATCCTTCCGGTCTTCTTCGCTGTGCTCGCACTTTGGATCTATGTCCGCAGCTTCTACCAGGTCAAGGTCAACAAGTCTGGATTCAGCGCCAAGGGATGGCGTCCGCTGAAGCTTGGCGCTCTTGCCAGGCTGGACATGAAGAACTCGAGGGGCGTGGAAATGAGCGCCATTACTCCACCGCCCCCGCCGAGCGCCACAATGGGTCCCTTTGGTGGCGATGGTGGGCGACGAACCGTGCTGATTGCGACCATGGAGTACAACATCGACGACTTCAAGATCAAGATCAAGATCGGTGGCCTCGGTGTGATGGCCCAGCTGATGGCGCAGTCACTCACGCATCTCAATCTCATCTGGGTCGTGCCCGTGGTCGGCGATGTCGAGTACCCCTTTGAACGCATGGAGGAGGCCGAGCCCATGTTTGTCGACGTGATGGGCCAGCCCTATGAGATCAAAGTCTACTACCATGTGTGGAAGAACATTACCTACGTCATTCTTGATGCCCCTATTTTCCGGAAGCAGACCAAGGCCGACCCGTACATCGCTCGTATGGACGACATCGAGTCCGCCATCCTCTACGCAGCCTGGAATAGCTGCATTGCCGACACCATCCGCCGCTTCCCGGTCGATCTCTACCATATCAATGATTATCATGGCGCTGCAGCTCCACTGTACCTTCTACCCCAGACCATCCCAGTCTGTCTGTCTCTCCACAATGCCGAGTTCCAGGGCATGTGGCCGATGCGGACGCCCGAGGAATCGAAGGAGGTTTGCGAGGTGTTTGGCCTGCCGCCAGACATTGTGAAGGACTACGTGCAGTACGGGTCCGTGTTCAACTTGCTCCACGCCAGCGCGAGCTACCTACGCCTTCACCAACGCGGCTTCGGAGCCGTCGGCGTGTCCAGGAAATATGGTGACCGGTCCCTCGCCCGTTATCCGATTTTCTGGAGTTTAAAGAGCATTGGTCAACTCCCTAACCCCGATCCTTCTGACACCGCCGATTGGGACCCCAGCCAGGATGTGTCCAAGCAGTCTAAAGACATCGAGATCAACCAAAGCATGGAAGAGAAGAGAGGAGATCTCCGACGACAAGCACAAGAGTGGGCGGGACTCGATGTCGACCCTTCGGCGGAATTGTTCGTGTTCGTGGGCCGCTGGAGTTTGCAGAAGGGTGTGGACTTGATAGCAGATATCTTCCCGAGCATCTTGGAGAAGTACCCGAAGACGCAACTGATTTGCATTGGCCCGGTCATTGATCTTTATGGGCGGTTTGCAGCCCTCAAGCTGGAGAAACTCATGCACCAATACCCCCGGCGGGTGTTCAGCAAGCCCGAGTTCACCCAGCTCCCCCCTTACATCTTCAGCGGTGCTGAATTCGCCCTCATTCCCTCGCGTGACGAGCCCTTTGGCCTGGTGGCGGTCGAGTTTGGAAGAAAAGGTGCTCTTGGTGTTGGAGCACGCGTTGGAGGTCTCGGCCAGATGCCGGGGTTCTGGTATACTGTCGAATCGATGACCCCGTCACATCTGCTGCAACAATTCAGAATGGCCATCGTCTCTGCGTTGGAGTGCAAGTAAGTATTTCGTCCCCCTTGCTCTGTTGCAAATGATGCAAGATGCTGACAATTCTTTTCTCCAACAGGACCTCAAAGCGAGCCCTCATGCGAGCGTGGAGCGCCAAGCAGCGTTTCCCCGTCGCACAGTGGCTCAAGCAGCTGGACGAACTGCACAGCCAGTCGATTCGGATCCATCACAAAGAGGCGAAAAAGAGGAAGCTCGAGGTTGTCAGCAACAGCCTCAATCTGACTCGACCATCCTCGCGTGCCAGCAACATCTCCTATTTCGACCCAGGGCCAGGCCAGGTGCTCAGCCCAGGACTCGACACGGGCCGCATGTCGCCTGGGCCGATGGCCCCGCCATCTCGTGTTGGCACTCCGACGCTCAGGGGCCTCACTTCTCCAGGCCTCCAAACACCCACCCTTCCGTGGGCTGGTGGTGCGTCGAGGTCAAACTCCCCGCGTGCCTCAATCGCAAGCTCCATCAATGCTCCGTTCTATAACCATAATGGAGCGCGTGACAGCACCGTGAGTGTCGACAGCTTTGCCATCCGAGCGCAAAAAGACGGCATTTCCTCGCCCACAATCGGCCCGGATGGTGGGCTGGGCTTTCCTCGACCTGCCTTCATGGCCCATCGGAACAGCAGTCTTCTCAGTCTTCCCGACGTGGTTGGCGATAGACAGGACTTGAAGCTCCAGCAGGTGGACCAGTTTTTCAACGACACCAGCGGCGAGTACTATGCTGAGTTCGACGAGATGCTCGACGCCATGAACGCACAGAATTCCATCAGCGACATGTGCATCGAAAACTTCCTCAAGAAGAGCGAGAAGGAATGGTTCGCCAGATACAGGGATGCCAAACTCGGAAGGGACTCCAGCCGGACGAGAAGCCCTGCGCCTGGGAGCCGGCCGGGCTCAAGAGCTGGTTCCGCCCGCGACGCGTCTGTTGTGAGCCGCGGCCGCCAACGGCATCGCAGCCTCACACCAAGTGGCTTAGCCAGGTCCGTCTTCGAGACATCACCACCTCCAATGCACAACGTCGACGACGAATTTTTACTTGGCGATGGATACAAAGCACCCACGGGGCTGAAAAAGTAAGTTCGCACAACGCCACCACGGTATCTGGGATTCCGTACTGACAAGCCTCTCCCCTTACAGATTACTATCTATCCGCCTTGGCGACTGGCCCCTCTACTCCTTCTTCCTCGCGTTTGCCCAAATCATCTCGGTCAACTCGTACCAAATCGTCCTTCTCTCCGGCGAGACCAACCAGAAGCCAGAAAAGCTGTACATGGTCGCTGGAACCTACATCATCACCTCACTGCTTTGGTGGGGCATGGAACGGAATTTCAAGTCGGTCTACGCTCTGTCAATCCCTTGGCTTTTCTTTGGCCTGGCTTTCCTCATGCTCGGCGTTGCGCCGTTCCTCGGTGACTGGCGAGTCGCCGAGGCTGTGACGAATACGGCCACCTGTATGTATGCTGCAGGAGCTAGCAGCGGGTCTCTGGCGTTCGCGCTGAATTTCGGTGACGAGGGTATGTTGAAATGGAATCTTTTTCGGCATCACTTGACAAAGCTAACATGCCTTAGGCGGCGCTCCAACAAAGCAGTGGATCACTCGAGCCTTGGTCGTGTCGGGCATCGCTCAGGTTTACAGCCTGGCCCTTTGGTACTGGGGTTCTCTTGTTGCAAACGCGGACACGACTGCCACCATCTTCCTGCCCGGCTCAAAAATTCCCCAGGCGCTTGTGGTCTGCGTGCCTGTCGCCATCTTCCTGTGGGTCATCGGGATTATTCTTTTCGTCGGGCTACCGGACTTTTACCGCCAATCTCCAGCCAAGATCCCGGGCTTCTATGTCTCACTGTACCGGCGAAAGATCGTTCCCTGGTTCTTCGTCATGATTATCATCCAGAACTACTGGCTTTCGGCCCCATACGGTCGCAGTTGGCAATTCCTCTTCGCTTCGCAGTTTATCCCCGGCTGGGGCGTGTTCCTCATGGCTCTCGGCTTCTTTGTGGTCATCTGGGGCCTCGTCTTGTACGGATTTTCCCACTTCTCGGACGAGCACACTTGGCTCCTCCCCATCTTCGCCATTGGCCTGCTCGCCCCCCGCTGGGCTCAAGAGTTCTGGGCTACCAGCGGGCTTGGCTGGTACATTCCTTGGGCCGGAAGCCCGATGGGCTCGGCTATTCTATCCCGATGCCTGTGGCTATGGTTGGGCCTCTTGGATAACATTCAGGGTGTTGGCCTCGGCATGATGCTGCTTGCGACTCTGACGCGGCAGCATGTATTGACAGTAATGATCTTCGCCCAGGTGGTGGGTAGCGTCTTCACGATCCTCGCACGGGCGACGAGCCCCAACGCACTGTCGGCCAACACGACTTTCCCCGACTTCTCGCAAGGTCTCATGCCAGGCCTTGCGAGTCAGTGGTTCTGGGTCTGCTTGATCATGCAGTTGATCATCCCCATTGGCTTCTTCAAATTCTTCCGCAAGGAGCAAGTGGCCAAGCCATAACCAAAACAAGAAGAGACATGTAGGGAAGCATACGAAGTGCAGCGCCGCTTAGGGAGGCGAATGATGTGATGCATATGTTCGGCGTATATATATACTATAAATCATGGCTTGGATATAAGGAGAGGTTTTTGTTTTGGCCTGTAAATATAGAGACTAAGTGTTAATAGATAAACTGTCGCTCTTTTTTTTGTACCGCATAAAAATTTTATTGTCATTACTGCTTCAACTTGCTCTCCGGTACGATGTGACTTCTCCCTCGCTAGATTGTTTGGACTTGAGTACGAAATAGACGTCGTTGGCCTTCTCTCAGCCCCTCGACACTGACGTCAGGAGACTTCCAACCCAGTGGAGGCTGAGTCAGCCAAGGAGAAGACCCACTGCCACAGCGCATCTGTCCGCCGCTTTGCGGCCACCCGTGCGGAGAGAAGTTGAAGCGTAGAAACCCGAAACAAACGAAGAAAAAGTATTAAAAAAATTTAGTGAAAGATATCTGCACAATGCGCCCTGGCAAGCCAAGACCTCGTGACAAGGAAATACCAATCACCCACCCACCTTCAAAAGCTTATGTTCTGACAGGAGCGGGATTCGAACCCACGCATCTCTCGATAGCAGTGCTTAAAACTGCCGCCTTAAACCACTCGGCCATCCTGCCAACGCCTTCTATTGGTCTGATCTGATGGAGTTCGTGTCTGGAAACAGAGCCTAGATGCCACCACCATGCGATGGCGGCGTCGCCACATTGTTCGGATGGCAAATTAGGGATGGGTTTCCGGCTTTTACACCCAACTGCTAAACATAGCAATGATGTCTTTTTATTAATATGTTCCTTTTTTGAGAGAGTACCGAGTTTGATGGTACTCTCAGGTCGGTTGATGTGGGGACCAATCAATTTCGCGATGGGGCTGGCTACCAGCGCTGGCAGCGGCACAATGAGGGAACGGATTGTGTGGGCGTGTGCAGCTGTGAGGAGACGGATTGGTTGGGTTCCACGAAAAAACGGGGGACGTTTAGATATATTGTACTCTCTAGCTCTTCGTATGATATGTTTTATGGCCACCAACGCTAACCCATAATTTCTGCGACTGATAATAAATCAGCTTCCGTTCCAGTCTATAACGCAATGGGTGCATTGCCACCGCCATCAATGCAACCCAATCAAGGCACAGGTACCACCCAGCCGCTACCACGGTCTGGGCCTTGCCCCAGCAATTAATCGCTGCGCTTTTACCCGGACGCATAGCACTTACTTTCTTTGCCTTCCCCCGTCCGCTCCCCCCCAATTGCCATATATGAACTACGGAGGTGAACAAACACGTGTGGCTCCACCTGCCTTGCCTGCCATTGTAAAAAAGAATTCTCCTTCCGGGTCTTGTCAACCGCGCTTCTAAGTTGAGATAGGGTAGTAAAAGAGAACGCGGGGGAACTGGTTCTGGACCCGGGATGGATGTATATGCAAGGGTGCTGTTGTTATAAGCGCGGATCTGTCGTAGAGGCCAGTTTGTGATATGATGTTACCATGTTGTGCGAGTGTGACCTCGGTGCCACCAGCCAGGTAAAGAAAAAGATGCCAAAAATGTGGTATTAATTATTATTTCTTTCCTAGACCTTACCTTTAATCTGGGGAAAATTTCTCCCTTCAGTCCCTGCTGCTTTGTTTGTTATCGTCCTAATCTCGCACGACCTGTTCTGGCACGCTCAGGCTCAACGGGAGGCGTTCGTTCGTTGGGTCCCAAACAGAACATAACAAGATGCATTTCTGGAGGGGTGCTCTCTTCACCGCCGCCATCACCACCGGCACGGTGCCTGGCGTTCTGTCTCTTAGCGTGGATCACCACAGCGTGGACCATGCCGACGTGCATCAGCCTACTGACTCGGAGCGCGGGCGTTCGGCGTACGCCTCCCACGAGAAGCACGAACCGAGCCATGTCGACGGCTGGGTGAAGCGAGAACGCCCGGATCCAAAAGCCAGGCTCCCCATGCGGATAGGGCTGAGGCAGTCGAACCTAGAAGCCGGGCATGAGCTGTTGATGGACATGTAAGTGGCCTTTTTTGTTTGGTCTCTTATCTCTCACCCGAATGCAATCTATGAGCCGAGCAGCGTGAAGGATATGATACGACCATGACAAGTGGACTCACTCACCCACAATGAGTTCCCAGGAGGAGCAGTAGTAGTCATCCTACTGGATAAATCGACTCCCCAGCATTGGTGCTAACTTGGTAACCCAATCAGTTCCAGCCCGCAGTCTGCAAACTACGGAAAACACCTCACATCCGAGGAGGTCGCCAAGCTATTCGCGCCGGAAGAGGAGTCCGTCACAGCCGTGCGGAGGTGGTTGGTGTCGTCAGGGTTCAACGAGAGCAAAGTCTCACAGTCAGTGAACAAACAGGTCAGCTTTCACTTTCACTCCCGGGTCTCACTCAAAGCGTTTCGTTCATACTTGATGCGCTGACACAAACTTTCTTCTAAACACTCAGTGGATCCAGTTTGATGCGCGTGTCGAGGATGCAGAGAAGCTTCTGCTAGCCAAGTACCATGTCTTTGAGCATCTGGAGACGGGTGTCACAAACATTGCTTGCTCCGAGTGAGTCCCCGACCAATCCTCTCTCACCCCATCAAGGCAGTCGTTGCTGATCCGTTGCAGATACCATGTCCCCCATAACGTGACGCAGCACATCGACTACATCACCCCGGGCATCAAGCTCGTCTCGACGGGCTACGATGAGAAGGCGATGGGGCGAATGTTGCAAAAGCGACGGCGAAGACGAAGCCAGACAAAAAAGAAAAACGTCCGCCGGCGGCAGACGCCCGAGAAGAGTGACAGCTTCTCCAAAGACCGGCCAAGAAAGAGGAAAGCTTGTAACGTAGCACAGCCACAGCCCGAGGACGACGATGAGACCAGGTTCAACATCGTCGGGCCGTGCAATTACGAAGCCACGCCCGAGTGTGTTCGAAGTCAGTACAACAACAGACGTCCTCTGGCACTAAAATTTCCGAGCCACGCAGACAGAAACTGACTTGAGCTACTGTGATAGACCAGTACCAGATTCCCAACGGCACCAAGGCGATGCCGGGGAACGAGCTCGGCATCTTCCAGGGGCTGAACCAGCATTACAGCCAGTGGGATCTCGACATGTACTGGAAGCACATTGCTCCGTAAGTACTAGCACTGCTCACCACATGAAAAAACGAACAAGGATTTGGTTACTCACTCAAAGCTGGTGAAATCAAACACAGATGGATCCCGAACGGCACAGCCCCCTCACTGCGCGCCATCAACGGCGCCTATGGGCCCGTCGCCGACGTCCTCAACGCAGGCTACGAAGCTGACCTCGACTTCCAAGTCGCCATCCCGCTGATCTGGCCGCAAAAATCCGTCCTCTTCCAGACCGACGACGAGTGGTACGAGCGGGAGCAGACCAAGAGCAACAGCCGGTACCCGGGCTTCTTCAACACCTTCTTCGACGCCATCGACGGCAGCTACTGCACCCTCGAAGCCTTCGGCTACAAAGGCAACTGCGACACGGACGAGTGCCGCGACCCGGAGTACCCGAACCCCAACGACGACGACCCGTCCATCGCCTACCAAGGGGAGCTCATGTGCGGCACGTACGCGCCGACCAACGTGATCAGCATCAGCTACAGCGGCGCCGAGAGCTCGCTGCCCCAGAACTACCTGGCGCGCCAGTGTCTGGAGATCATGAAGCTCGGCCTGCAGGGGGTCACCGTGGTCGAGTCATCGGGCGATCACGGCGTCGGCGGGCGGCGGTACGATCCGCAGGACGGCTGCCTGGGGCCTAACAGGGACGTGTTCGCGCCCCGGCTGATGAGCAACTGCCCTTACATTCTCAGTGTTGGCGCCACAATGCTAGTCCCGGTCCTAAACGCCAGCACGCAGATGGCGCAGCCCGGACAGTTCTTCGAGCGGGCGACCACGTTCTTCGCTTCGGGGGGTGGGTTCTCCAACGTCTTCGACACGCCGAAGTGGCAGGCCAAGCACGTGGCCGCGTACCTCAAGCGCGCAAATATGTCGCATCTGGGTTACGAGGTCGGCAGCGGCGGGCGGAATAACTACAGCAGCATCATCTCCAAGGAGCCCGGGAGGCTGTTCAACCGCGCGGGCAGGGGTTATCCGGACGTGGCGGCGCTGGGGGATAACTACCGCGTCATCACGGCGGGGTTCTCGGACCGACTTGGAGGGACGAGCGTGTCGGTGCCCATCTGGGCGTCGATGCTGACGCTGCTGAACGAGGAGAGGTTGGCCGCGGGGAAGAGCACCGTGGGCTTTGTACATCCGGTTCTGGTGAGTATCTATCTGTCTCATCACCTACCTAAGGGTAGTATCGAGTTAGGAGAGTAAAGAGAAGGCGACTAACAGGCAATAATGAATAGTATGAGCATCCCGAGGTGTTCACGGACATCACGACGGGGTCGAATCCTGGCTGTGGAGGCGCTGGGTTTTCGGTCAAGGAGGGTTGGGATCCGGTAACGGGACTTGGGTGAGTGCCAGTTTCTCCCCCTAGAGAAGAAAAGAAAGCTGACCGGAGTACTGCAAAGGACGCCGAAATACCCAAAGCTGCTGGAACTGTTCATGAGTCTTCCATGACAGATGCAGGGGGCACTGCTGATGTGAGAAGAATCAGGGGGGGAAAGACAGGCTATCAGGCCAAGTAATCGAGAGTTTAAAGGTTGGTGGCATTGAGGCCGAGATTTTTTGGGACTTGTTGTGTCTCATGTTGGTTTTGAGATACACATAGGCGCATGTTTGCATCTTTCAAGAGTTTGGAAAAAATAATATTCTCTTTGAGGGTGAATAGTGGACTTTGAGGGAAAGTTATCTGCCCCTGGGCACTTAAAGCATAGGGAACTGGTGGGCTATTGCACAGGCCTCCAAGGCCTAAAAAAGGGGGCTGTGGGTCAGTCGGCCACTACAAGATCAGTTTCCATTTTCCCTTGCTGCAGCGATTTCTGTCTGAAGCCGTTTAGTGGAGTCGAATATATGTATTGTGGACTTAAAAAATTCTTAAGCACACTGCTGTGAACCTACATCAGTGCACTTCAGCACGGTCGCTTTCTTTCAGGAGGGTTTTATTCCCGAAGAAACCCGCGCAGAAACGCGCAATAAAAATACCACCTCCCCCAAAAAGCAAATCTGAGCGAACTCTTCGTTGCAATGCTGTGTTTCGGATACGGGGAGTCGAACCCCGGGCTGCTGAGTGAGAGTCAGCGATGTTACCGCTACACCATACCCGATTGAATCGCTTTGATGGAGTCTCGAGCGCGAAAGCTGGCTCAACCCAGTCGTCCCACCCAGATTTGCTTTCTCTTTGGCGTTCGTTATCTCTTTATTGGACAAATTTGACCTCTTGATTGATGGTGGTGTGGAGTTCTCTACCGGGTCGTTAAAAATGCTTTTGCAAGAGTGGCGGGGCGCTATCAGTTTTGGTCGCCGTTCTGTTGTAGCGGCGGCAATCACCGAACGAACCCCTTTTCGGCGAGTAAACAACGGTGCCACTGGAAGTGACTAATCCTTACTGAAAGCAACTACACCCGTTTTGTCGTTCTTAACGAGTTGTTTTAAGCTTATTTAGATAATTTTTCGAATGACACTGACAGTTTCGTCTGCACCTCATGCATCTAGGAACATGGGATGA